CTGCCACCATTTTCTGGCCTGTTGTAGGTATCATGGTATGTGCCCCCGGGTTCTTCTTGACCAGTGGTTCTGGGAGCGGCAGGACCCTGGCCTGGGCGAAAGGGGCACTCTCTGACATAATGCTGTGAACTTCGGCACTGGAAACAACGCCTGTTCATTGGTGGGGAAGCAGAGGACCTACGGGCTCGAGCACGACATTCCATGGTATCATGTGTGGCAAGGCGATGGTAAGCGCACCATTTGTCGTGGGGCTCGTGTGGAGTAGTGGTTTCAACAGGCATGGCATATGCGTCACGGGCACGGGTAGGACGACTGGTGAATGGAGCTGGACCCTCAGGATCTGGAGCAGGTGCTGAAGAGTGTTGAATTCCATGCCGTGAATTCCATATGCGCTGAGCCGCTTCGGCCACCTGGGAAGGGCTGCCATCTTCCTTGAGTGCCAGAAAATCATGAAGCCAGGACGGGAGACCACTCAAAAAGACCCTTTTAACCAATTGTGAAGGGTCGCCTACAGCCTCGGGATGATCTCTGTACCCCTGGTAAACATTCCCCTCCAGCTGTAAGTAGAAATCCATCGGTGCTTGGGATGGAGCAAGGCGGATATTATACAACACCTTATAAAAATCCGCTGCTGTATATGTTCCTCGAAACTTGTTGCGTAGTGCAGCCTTGAAGGACTGCCAATCTGTGAAGCTGTCGAACAGTGGTGAGTTGATCAGAAGTTCCGCAGGTCCTCTGCAGCTAGCCCTCGCTGCTTGTATGTACGCCTCCGATGTTGCAGGCTTCACTATATTTTCCAAGGCACGTATCCATCCTTCCACCTCCTGATTCTTTCGGAGAGGCTGAGAGGCTGGGGCATCTCCGCGAAAGTTAGGAACCTTCTCTCGGGTGAGGTAGTAGTTCACGGCAGCACCAGAAGACTGTGACGAAAAAGGATCATGGCAAACCCGAGGAGGGAGACTGTGATCTGGCAAAACTGGCCGTGACGCAGGAACGTGGTCTCTCTGGTGTGTCGAGTTGGATGGGTGAATGACTGGAGCTGGAGGGTTAGGTGGGAGTGACACCAACTGATGGCTAGATATACGTGGTGCCGCATATATTTCAGCGCCGCGATCATAATGGCCCATAGAACCGAGAACTTCTGCAGCTGGCCTGGTAGAAGCTCTGGCCAGTCTGTCTGCCTCCTGCGGCCCTACATCCTGTTGAAGTTGCTGACGAAGGGCCTCGATGTCTCTCTCCCTTTCACACTCCTGAGGTGGGTCAGCACGTGGAGTTCTCCGAGCCTGCTCGAGCTGCTGGTGGACTTCATTCAGTATTTGGGACTGCTGTTCCAGTTTGTTCCACAGATCTTGGATGATGTCGTCCTTTTCCCTTAGACGGGCATCTTCAGCTGGAGCAGTCGGCATCGCCCTTTCACCACCCTCACGCTGCCGCAGGGCCTCTTCATGCTGTTCAAATCGTTGGTTGCTCCGCTCCCTAAAGTCCCTGAATTCTGAGCAGAGGTCGTTGATCTTGCCCATCAGTTCTTCAAAGAGGGTGATTTCCCCCTCCATCACCTGGACTGCTCGCCGAATATCTGGATTCGAGGAGCTGGCTGCAGGAGAAGACGCTCCACATACTGGTTGGCTAGTAGGCGCTGGCTGGCTAGCAGACATTAGGTTGCGGCGCTCTTGCAGTCTGTGGTAACGTTCTTCGCGTGCCCTCTCGTTGGGCATATTAGACAGTAAAAGTGCAGACAAAAGAGATATCAGGCAAAAACCAACTCGAAAAACAAGTAATGGGTAACCAATGGCAATTTAGGAAATAAAATTAGATTAAGTGTTACAGCAAAGGAAGACACATTAAGAGCACATGATAAATAGGTAATCCTAATCTACGTGAGCCAAACACAAACAAAAAACAGAAACAAATAAGATCGGAACGTAACTAAAAAAAAAACATCAAGAGAGAAGAGTAAAAAAAAAAGCCTGAATACTAAAAGGGGACCGTGAAAATAAAAATAAAGGCCGCAGCGTATAAAAAGAACTTCTAAAAGAAGCAGCAGACAGACCAAAGTAATCACACTTAAAAGCAAACCCAATAAGAATACGAAACAAAAAAAAAAAAAAACAAATAAAAAGCAAGAGAACCAGACACACGGAGTAGAGAAAAAAAATAGGAGGAATAAAACAATGGAGAAAAAAAAAGGCTCACCAAAACTATTAAAATCATACAATATAACCTACCATGAGTGAACTATGCTGGATGTGATAACGGAGAGCGCCACTCGTAAAAGAAAGGCTGAAACGATCCCACTGCTGATCACCAAAAATATACTGTGAGAGTAAGCAGCTCTGTAGCCAAGGGGGGAGAGCGACCGGGCTGCGGGATGCCCGCCGTTATGGGGATGCGGGATGCTGTGGTGGCGAGCGCCACTCTTACACTACCATGAAACATTATATCGTGTTTTTTGTGTATAATTTGGCTCTGAGAAAGAGAGAGAAAAAAGACATGGATAAGGTGAATGACCGGATGAAAGTATTATTCACTTACGACAATAAAAAGCAAGATCTAGTTTTGTTTTATCGGTTGGCTGTTAAGTATTCACTTAATAGCCAAACTTTCTTGTCATCATTCACTTTTTACAAAGTATATTTTATTTTTATTTTATTTTTATATCTACTTCATAAATTCAGTGAAACATATTCAACATGATACACATTAATATATGCTAGGATTTGCATTACAACAAAACTAACAGGGTTGGTTTTAAAACAAAGTCGGATTTTCGATCGAAACACACAGTAATAAGTCTCATTTATAATTTTTTTTAAATTTTGGCTACCTTACTTATTCATTTATTTGTTGTAGTAACACTCCCTTCGGAACAATTTTGCCACCACCGCCCCTAAAAAATAAAAATAGATAAAAAAAAATAACATCAATTCCTATCCTTTTTGTTTGATTTGTCTTATGAACCGAATCCCACCGCTGCCACCAGTGAGACAAGTTGGCCAGACCGGTGTTCGCTCGCTCTGCGCATGACGTCACTCAGTCCTCGGCAGGAGCCCGCAGCCAAGTTCTTAAGAAGTTTTTAGAATGCATTCAGGGAGGTGGAATAGAAATAAGGCTATTAGCTCATCTAGTATTTACTTTTCTTTTACTAAAACATGTATAGTACAGTAGTATGCAATGCTTAAAACATATACAGTATACATAGCTTATGATACTAATACCTAATTATTTTATCAGATTTCTTTAGTCTCTCTTCCATGTCTTGTTTTTATTTTCTCTTTTCGCTTCTGTTTATATAGTGTATTCATATTTTATCATAAAATAACAAATTTATTTTCTAAGTAAAGGAATTTCAAACTAAAATTCCTATGTGATTCATCTTCAACTGATTTGCATCAACTTGCAGTAGTCCTGTAATGTATAGACTTGTACTACATCACCATCCAGCTCAATAATATCCAAGTCCTTTTAAAAGAAAGAAAAATAGAATCATAGTGATTCTAATCCTTAAGAAATATGTAATATACAGTTCTCTGTCCGGTTTTCTTTCACGTAAATTTTCGTCTTCATTATTTTTGTTCTTTAAGTCATTTCCCTTAACAATCTGAATTTCTGCTGAACTGTTACACTTATCTAAGGTTTGTGCAACATGTTTTTAATTTTCTTTTTTTTTCACGCCTACAGTACTTGGGTGTTCAAGGGATCAGTACATTTGTG